GGGCATTTAGAAGTCAATGTATCTCAGTGAGCAATTCATTGCCCCATTGGATTCTGGCAGATTTCTGGCTGCAAGTCCCCAGTTGAGCTCCCTGTCCTCCTGCCAGGTGGAACTGGGCAAGGTTCTATTGCATGTTTCAGTTGCCTTTCCCCTGAAGATAGTCCAGGTTCTGAAGGGAGGAGATGATTCCTGTATTTTGCCAGGTAGGGTGGTCTGGTGTGCCTTTATTGCAGAGATTCTCTTCCCTTTTCCAGTGGGCTTCAGGTATGTTCAGGGAGCTTGAGCGGGGTCTTCTCTCTATTGACCACTGCCGCAGCTCAGGACAATGGACTTGACGCCCTGTGTGCCCCTGTAGTGTGGATCCACATAGCTTCACGGCCAATAGGCCAGAAGTGGAGGGTGCTCTGTTGTTGCATGCACCCACCTGGCTCCACACTGTGTTGGTGGGCTTTCCCAGAGGGTCCTTACCAGCTCTTGGTCACAAGTAGGCATAGCCAGCCAGGCAGAGCTAGGGTCCAACTGTCCTGCGCACACTACCAGTGTAGCTCTGCCCATGGGGCTCCATGGGCATCTGGTGGGTCCTTTCCAGCTCTTGAGCACAAGGAGGCAAACCAGCTGGACAGAGCTGGGCTCAGTCATTCCTGGGTGCTCTGCCCGCATGGCTTCAAGGGCAGCTAGTGGGCATGCCTGTGTGGTCCTTCCCAGCTCTTTGGGAGAGACTCCCTTTGTTTCCAATATTGGGGTTACCTCAAGTTCCTCAGCTCATCGGCTTTTTAAGCTTTGTCTGCTCTATAGTTATTAATCATTTCCTGCATTATGGATACAATATGTGTTGTGATCCGAGAAAATAGTTCTGATTTCTTGATTTCCAGATCCTCTTCCTATGCCAGTTCAAGGAGTCTCTTTGCCCTTTGCTATTGCATTAGATGATCTGGAAGTTTGGTTTTGAGATTTCTTTACATGTGTTCTCATTTCAACAGATGCAGCCTGCTGTGCCTTTGTTGAGGTGCCTTCTTTCTCACCCGGTGATCTTGAATTCTGAGCAGGCCACTGAGCAGCCTTTCCTCTGCTGCTCACCATCATACCAATTCTTGGGTTCAGAGTGCTGGCCTTCTGGATCCCTGAGCTGACCT